TTTATCTGCGCTCACCAGGCCAGGAGAATTAGGATTCATTGGAGTCAATGAGGATGATAGAGTGCCCTTTGTGGTAGACATAGACTCCTCCATTCTCTGATACTGCAGAGACACAATAGGGGGCCCCTGAGATGCAGAGAGTATTATACACTGGATAAGGATAGGCGCACTAATGGGGATGCCTGAAATCCAGGTAAAGCAGCTGCATGAATAAGAACAGGCGCATGATAGGGGACGCCTGGAACCAGCTATATCCATGCATGGATAAGAACAGATGTACGATGGGGGACGCCTGGAATCTGGAAGGGCTGCTATGGGTAAGAACAGATGCACGATGAGGTACACCTGGAACCCAAGGAAAACTTGTTATTGAGTTAGAAATCTCAAATCCAATGAGTCAGTGCGAGCAGGATAGAGCCAGGAGACACCAAGTTTGCAAAAACTAATAGAAGTGGTAAACCAAGGAAATGAGTCTGGATTGTTGTGGATCTCTATAACAACAACCTACTAGATCATAATATTAAACAATTGCAGTGAAATCCAATTAGAACTCAACAACGACCACCAAGAATTATCGGGACTCAATGTAAAGTGAAACTGATTGCAGAAAAAGATGGCGGTAGTCCCCTAAATGGTGGCCTGCTTAGTGACGCTGGATCTGCAGTACGTCCTAGAAGACTGCCAACCCAATTTCGCCTGTCCTGAATTAATCCCCTTTGTGGGAACTGGGAAACGTTTTGAGGAGGAAGGAGCCCCTTCCTCCAAACACAATGAGTGGAACTTTCCGAAGTCTGGGATCACGTGGCCCAAGATGGCGGCCACACACAAAACAATGGCCGCGTCTGCCTTGTTTCAGGAGGCTCCGAGGGAGAAGACTGCTGAGCGTGAGAGCTCCCTTTTTTCTGTAAATCTGTCTCCCGAACTAGAAAAAACTCAGCCAAATTTTTTTAAACTTTCCCCCTCCTATGCCGCCTATCAGCTGATCGGCGGTAGCGATTTAGCGCGCAAACACTCCTACCACCTGAGAAACGGTGGAAAAAGCCGAGCTACAGGGGCAAACAGAGGGAAAATACCGGCTGAATAAATCTTCGGAGTTGCAGTCACAACCTCCAAAAATTTAGTTAAGGTTCTCTAATAGGATCCTGAATGCATCGGAACGAAACAAGGAGTCTCCCCCCACCTACTACTCGACGAATCCCCGGAGCTGCAGCCGCAAGCTCCGATGCCAAGGGAGACCGAGCTGAGACCTGTTGGGAAAATAGCAGCCGCTATTTTACTTGTGTCTCAATTAATCTAGGGACCCTGGGCAAGGAAAATTGAACAGGGTTGGAAGTGGGGAAGAAAGAAAATATGGAGATCCCTCCTGTACTTTCAGTTTCTCTTCCCCCCCCCTTTTAATTAGCAATTTGTTGAAAATTTGGAATTTTATGATGATCCTGAATGGATTAATTTATAATAGGGAAGCCAAATTCTATTACTAATCAAAGCACAGTTCAGCAACTGGGAAAATTCACCAATGGAGACTGTACCTGACTAAGAGCCAAACTTGCACATCTGTCCTGGGTGAAATCAAGTCAAGACTGGGATCTCTATGGTCCAGGACGGGTGTGGCAACTTTGGCTGACTTGATCTGATTGGGCAGGAATACAGTCTAAACCCTTTGGTGGATTCTCCATCTCCAGTGCTGGAGAATGAACATTTCAACAAAGTATTTTTGGGAGTTTAGGAGTAAAGTACTTCGTGAAAGTTTTGGTCTTAATCACCAAAATAAAATAGTCTAAAATAAAATATTTTGTTGTCAAAATGGCAAAAGTTACTTCAACTCTAACTGTTTAACTATTGCAGGAAGCAATTTTTGTGTATTTAAATCTTAATGTAGTGAAACAATGTTATAACAAAATATCAGTAAACAAATACAAATATCCTCCCCTGACAAAAAAATGGCCCTTTTGTTTTTATCTTGGCCTGAATGAGATTCTGTTTGTCTCTCACATATCAACTAGGACAGTGGTGACAAACCTATGGCTCAGGTGCCAGAGGCAGCACTCGGAGCCCTCTTTGTGGGCACATGTGCCGTTGCCTCAGCCTTACCTCCCCCGCGACCCCCTCCTCTCCAGCAGCCCCCCTGAAGGAGACTTGCCCTCAAGCGTGGCCCACGCGGAGCAGCGCAGCCAAGGACATGGCAGCCAGGCAGCATAGACAAGACTCTGCCGTCACACCCCAGCATGCACAGTTGATGCTGCAGGGCGCAGGCAGAGGGTGTGGCCGCCATAGCGCTGCTGGGCTGCCTGGGCGATCTGCGGCAGGCCCTGGAGCCGGTGAGTGGTTCTGTGGGCAGGTGGGGCAGGGGGTGGGGAGGCAGAGCGGGGGCGGGCAGGGAGGTGGAGCGAGGGCTTGGCCAGTTTTTGGGCACTCAGTCTCTAAAAGGTTCGCCATCACTGAACTAGGACAATTATGCAAAAGCAGAAAGAATAGAATAGAATAGAATAGAATAGAATAGAATAGAATAGAATAGAATAGAATAGAATAGAATAGAATAGAATAGAAGCTGGAAGAGACCTTGGAGGTCTTCTTATCCTATTGAATTATCTGAAAAAATTGGAAACGAGTCACAAACTAAATTCAGACTCATATTTCAGAGCAAAAACAATACATAATCAGCCTTTTACTAGAAATAAATGTATAAAAAGTTGAATATCATGGAGAGATAATTTGAACAACGTAATAATGCAAATTATTGCCTTATGATTGCAGGAGGAACAGAAGAAAAAAATGATAACTTTGGGATGGAATCAAATATGTCTCTACAATACAATTACTCAGCATTTCATTATTTTTCAAAATTATACAGAAAGCAGTAATCTGATCCAGCAGAAAGTAAAGAACATTTAAATAGTATATTACCACAAAATTTACTGACCAACAAAAAAACGTTCCTTCCTTCCTCCCTCCCTCCTTCCCTCCTTTTCCTTCCCAGCAGTTAAATAAGTGGCTGCAAAATGTGGGAGTACAAACGGGGGAAGGGAGTATGTGAATCCATGAGTGACTGACACAGTGCAAGTGCAGAATGACTAGTTAGTAGAAAGTGCACCATTTCTCCTTTAACTTTCTCCAGGCAAGCTTTCCACCAACAAACACTTTGTTTGTGGGAAGGTGACAAGAAGCCTGGCAATCTTATCATTTCCTTCTGGGTTCCCCTCAGTGGTACTGAACAACAGTGCAGCAGCGCTGAAGTGGCACAAAATCTTTCCCAAATTAATTCCCATAAAAGTAATGGGTCCCAGCATTCTATACATCAGCTCATTAGAGATACCTTTGTTTGTAAAGTTTTACCTTGTGATGCAGCATTTTGCCCAATGAAAGGTTACAAAGTATCAAACAGATACAAGAGTTTTAGTAGTATATAGATAATGTTCCTTAACTACCCAAAGAAGTGTTCACAGGAATTGCAGCATCAAAAGGAACTGGAATAACTCTTAACTAAAAGTATACCCGTGTCTTGCCCTAGCTTGAAAAAGATTAGCGACATCATTGCCCCAGTCACCAAGTCAAACACATACGGGTAATTTGCAATATACAATGGCAATTGGGACTGGACTTTCCATTGCCAAGAGATGAGGTCATAAAGCATGATTGCATCCCTAAGTGACAACACTTAAGAGTGCATAAAGGTGTATAACAGGCATTGCACAGCTCAGGGAAGGTGCATGAGAAGCACCACACAGGTCAGGAAGAGAGAACAGGGGTGCAAAAGTGAGGAAGAAGCATTGCATGGATCAGAGAGGGAGAAGGAATGTGTGAGAGGTACCATGGAAGTTAGGGACACAGCACAAGGGGGAAGTCAGAGGTAGTGGCATAGGTCAGGAAGGGTGTGTAAGGTTGCATGAGTCAGGGACAAAGTGCATGGTTAAAAGAAAATGCATGAGAGGCATGGTGAGGCTCAAAGAAGGTGCAAGGGAGGACAGCATGGGTCACATGCAAAGAGATGCACTTGAGGTACTGTGCAGATTGACGACAGGACATAAGGTGCACAATAGATATGGTGCAGGTTAGGGTGGGTGCGTAAGAGTGTATAAGAGGATATGAGTGGCCAGCAAGAGCACAAAGGGGCTGGGAAAAGATGCATAGGTAAGGAAATCTTAACCCAGAGATCTGCAACCTTTCCTGCTAGCTTCTCGATGACTTTCTGGGAGCCACTTGGGATGGCGAGATGGGTGGCATATAAATTTAATAATAAACAAATAAATAAAATAAAGCTGGCATGGAAGATTACAAATGGCAATCATGTGATTGGAGAATACTTGGCAACTGGTCATTAGTAGAAATGGGTTGCTAAGCACTTAAATCATGATCACATAACCATGGAGCTGTTAGGATAGCTAGAACTCCGGGAACTGGTCATAAATAGCATTCATTCAATGCTGACTGGATGGTCATAGGTAGAGGACTATTTGTATTCAGAATAGGAGTTTTTCTCTGGATGAGAAATAATAGAGAAAAATTGTTGCCTGTTCTGAACCAACACTCAGTCTAGGAAAGAATATATACATTTCAGAATTAGCATACAGATTTAGTCTAATTTGATTCTTCTAATCTACAGTACCTCATTCTATAGCAGAAGTGGACAAACTGTGCCTGAACTATAGTTTCCAGCATCCCTTATCATATTGGCCATATTGGTTCAAACAAATGGGGTAAAAGATTCAGCAACATCTACAAGGGCCACAGATTTCCCACCACTCTGCTGACCCATAGGACTAATCTGCATCAAAAACAATTCACATGGATTCACTTCTAATGTAAATTGCTGTAAAATATTATTGATGCTGATGTAATAACACTAGTATTGATTCTTTAGATACAGATACAAAGGATTAAAAGAGATAACATCAATCTGGATATGATGCCCAAATGTGATGATTTCACTAAACGAAACAGACAACACAAAAATGAAAAACAATGGCAGTATGAAGGAGATGGATTTCTTTTGCATATCTTACCTGTCTCTCGGGACCTATTGGCTCAGATTCTCGTCTCCGCTGCCGGATAGCTGGTGCTGAATATAAGGGGGACTGTGATGGGCTTCCTGGTTGCTGCTCATGCTTATTCTCAGATACTGTCTGGCATTGCATTTCATTTCTGTGGGAACTGTCCTCTTCAGCCACAGGCTGCATACCTCGGACTCGCCCATCATGTATTTTGGGCCTGACTGCTGCTTCTGCACCCAAGTGCCTCCTTTCGTCCCCTTCTTCTATGGGCTTTAGTTCCTCAGGTTCCTCATCTGTCGTCCCAGATGTACTTGGTTCAGCGCCAGGATGGAAGTCCTTCAGTTCTGTCTCTTTATCAATGATAACCCACTCTTTGCTGTCAAAGTCCTCCTCCTCAGCCAGGGGCACTGATCGGAAAGCATTACTGAGAGCTTCATGCTCCACAGAAGCAGATACATCCATCCTGCCACTTGCCTGTCGGTCTACCTGACCAGTCTCAATAGACAGCATCTGTGCTGGCTGAGAAGAGCATACAAGCCGGGAAGGAGAACAAGGTAAATCTACGCGGGATCTGAAAATAAAAACAAATTAATTTTAAAAATTAATAATTTAAGATTATTAAAGAATAATGATGGCTATTTCCCATAATCTAAATTAAAGAACCTTTTGAGAATAGCTTCCCCTGAAATGGGATCTGCTCTCTTCCAAATTCATTGAAAATTCAAAAGATAAAACTAAATATTAAAGCTGCTTTTCTTCAAGTATAACACACTAGTCTTATGTTTCTTTGCTAAAGAATATTAGCAGACTCCAACACCTGTATCCACCTGTCCACTCTCCTCCCATAGCATGCCTTTGCTAGCCTGAGCAAGAAGATGGCCACTGGGGAGTGGACCCTATTCATTCTGTTGCCTCACTTATGGAATGATTTTCCAGGAAAAGAGGGAGCAATTTTTAACATCCATTATATCACTTTCAGGCTACTTACAGTAACTTAAAGATCCCTTAATTTCATTGTATGCTTTTACATTTTATTTTTATTTTTTTTCCCATTTGTGTAGGTGAACTAATACCCATTGAATAACATAAATATTGTACATTTCAATAAAATCCATTTATTTGTTTAAATCAGAGAGTTTTATATGAGCAAGTTACAGTCTATTCATTGACTAGATAAGTAATTTTAAAATCTGAGCATAACATAAAGGACATTCAGTAGAGATCTTCAAGTATTTGAAGTAATGAATGAACAATTAAATTTCTTTTCTCCACCACTTAGCACCGATAGGTCTGATTAAAATAAAGGGGGGGAGGAATAATACTGATTTAAAATAAACCGAAATAATGTGTGGCTTTTCCTCATAGGTACATTTAAATCATTACGCCATGTTTGCTTGTTTGCTTATTTGTTGGTTGGTTGTACTTGGAAGTCAACCAACTCTTTGATGAATTTGGGTGGGAAACAACATATGTCTGTGTGGGTTTTTTTTTTTACAGATGACTTAAAATTATCATAAGAAAACCAAAACCATAAAGTTTCCACAACCATCCTGTTCCCAAGGCCTGGGAGGACAACCACGTTTTTAACAGTTTATGAAAAGTCGTTACATACAGATCTCTGGTGGGATGCTATTTCAGCTTTCTCTTTGCTTTCTTTACTTTGACTCTTAGCTATATTCCCAAAGCTTGAACAAGAATGTATTAAAGCCACTTAATTGGCCCTAAGCAAACCTTCGTTCATGCTGATCAAGTTTTCCATCAGCAGTGGAGAGGCGTTCCGACTCAGGACTATTCACACGACGGTATCTCAGAGAACGTGCTTGAGTTGTAGGGGAGTCTGGCACTGCTCGCACTGGGGAGATGGGACACACACCACTTTTCTGATCATCTTCTGCTAAACACTGCGTCTGAAACCATTGAGAATAAGATAAATCCACAAAAAAACCAAGGTAATGAACCTGATGCAGCCTATCATCTGAGGGTACTAATTAAATATTTGATTTCACATGCATCAATTTTTGACAAATTATACCCAGGGGCCGTTATAATGATGATGCAGTTTTGGCCAAGAAGACATAATCTAATAAATTCATATTAAACATCAAGAGAGGCACTGCAGTTTGTAATATATTCTTTATATCTTTAGCCCAGTCTTGAATGCAAGACAAAGTCACTTTACATTAAAACATACTTGCATGTCTAAATTTAGTTATCTTACTTAGCATATTGTCTGCTCACAAAACCACTATTCTTTGGAAGAAAATGAAAAGATTAGTGCATATTCAAAATGGTCAAAAAGTTTTACTTTGCTGATGCTGATCCTGAGTTTGTTGCGATTTACATCAGTCTCTTCCCAAACTTCTCCTTCATTGAAGGGAACATTTGGAGTCTGCCCTAAATTATTCTCTGTTGGCCGGCCAGATAAAATTGGGGGTGCGTTCTCTTGGTCACTCAGGTGTTCTCCTTGCAAAACATCCTCTGTGTTCTCACGAAGTAAATCTCCAGGAATTGGAGTGATATTAACCACACTAAAGGAGAAATAATGTACAAACTTCAGATTACAAGACTAAAGCTTTAGATTTATTTCTCACAGTATGACAAAAACCTCACCCGTTCATAGCCAATATTATAGATAATGCATACAAAGCCCACTGCGACAGAATATGAAGCTTTAAATAAGTTATCTTATCTTGAGGTACTACTAGATTCGATGGATGACTGAAACTTTGTTATTCCTCTGGCATTTAACTATTGGAAAATTTCCAGGCTGCCAATGAACTATTCTTCATTGGCAGCCTGGAAATCTTATCCTAAGGATTCCATAATAATTACTTAGCATACTGCAGAATTTCTTGTCCTTCCGTAAAAAAAATGTACTGTTATCCATCATTATGATGCCTTATGGCAGGAGGAAATTCTGAAATACAATATCTACTATAATGACTATCAGTATGATGTACTGAAGACAGTACTAGCTATGGAAGAAGATGAGTAGCCTTGCTAAAAGAAAATACCTAAGTATAATAAAATATATTATTTTTCATTTTGATAACAAAACAGAATTGGGATACCTCTTGTTTATTTTAACTTAAATCTTGAGATGTGGGTTATTCTATAATGTTTAGATTCTGATTGAGATTTATGATTTTTCAGGGGACTTGCCTTAATAGGACACAAGGGAACCAGAATACGTCAAAATTTTTCATAGAACTGTACGTCTTGATATGACTCCCTATGTATTTTCCCATGAAATAACTATGTTATCCACTCCCACAAAAGATCTTTAAATTACATTGGCAGTTTATTTCTTTCTAGTTGTCTTCACCAGATCCACTCAAATGGGAAATATTCACAATCTCAGAGAATTTCCCAAGATTTAAAAATTAGAGAGTGATCAGAAGCAGCACATTTATGATACAAGTAGAGTCAGATCCTATGAGAAGAGTTCTGTCTTTTATTCCTGTTCATGACAAGAGGTCATGAAGGGTTAGTGAAGGTGATATTTTCCTGGCCTTCCTTTAGCTCTCTCCACTCTAGAAGGATGAAGGACACACTGGAGAAACTGCATTTCTGCATTCCCCACCCACTGCCCATGAACCCAAACATAAACTAGATAAAAGTTCTTTGGATTTCCAAAAAGTTCTATCCATAAATATTAGGACATCTTTGGAGTCAATCAACTCAAAGGTAATCACTTATAGTCAACATGTCATGCTCACATATAGCATTAATATTAGCATACCTGTTTTGGGGAAACATCTGTAACTACAAACACTGACTGTATATAAAATAATTTGTCAGCACACCAAAAGAGCCTCTAGTGAGATTCTGCGATATTGGATATATGTGGTCTGCCACTCACCCAAACATGGCTGCAGTTTGCCTTGTGTTCTGCTGAGGTGGGGTGGATGTACTTGTAGATAATAAAATATCTGTACCAGCTTTCTCCCAGTCAAAGGCCTCATTCTCAGTAATTCCTCTTTCCTTCATGCTATTTTCAAACACAGTCATGATCAGCTAGACAAAAACAAGTTAGAATACTAAAGTTCAAATGTTTATCCACAATCAGAAATAAGAATATAGGAAGTCACTTTATATGAGATAGAGAATGGTCTATTTCACAGATTCACAACTTGAGGCCCTAGAGCCAGAAGTAACCCCCAAATCATTGGATGCATCCTCTAAGCTTTCAAAAAAAAATACCTGTTCCGAGTCTAATTTTTGATTAAGTAGAAATCAAAAATCATTACATACTTGACTGAAGAGTAAGCACCTTAACTATATTTTCACTGAATATGAATGAAACAAAATTTAGTTTATTTCATAACTGCATCATTATTTTTAGAGTGTCCCCATAAGGTTAAATAAAAGTCATGAACACCTGTCAACTAGATCAGCTGAAGCTCTCCAGAATAGGCAAAGTATTTCCCAAACGTAGCTTTCTTAACTGGATGTGTTTTAGAAGTCTTCTATATTCCCTTACTGCAAAATTAGTGCTCCTCCTTAAAAGAATTTCCTAAGAAAATTTGGGGTTTTTTATTCATGTGATATACTAAAACAGATAGCTAAAAACAGATTAATATCATTATGGGATTATCCACTGATTACAAATAACCCTAATTAAGGCAATCAGGATACAACTGAAAGATCTGCTTGTAAGTTTTTATTATTATGGTTGTTCACATAGTCAGTCAAATGTTTAGATTGGATTTGGCCTTTTTATCTACCTATTAAGTCCTTCCCAAAGATCTGGGATAGGCAAATGTTTGATGGTGTTAAAGTTATCATTGTATGATGTAAGCTGTTCCTACTAAAGCTTCGTTTTGCAATTGACTGATGGTGATGCCAATGTGATGCCAAGATGTTGTGGAATTGCACCCAAAGTGTCTATTACTATTGGTACTACTTTGCTTCCTTTGGCCACACTTATTCTACTTCTATTTGCAGTCCTTTGTATTTTGTGATTTTCTCCATTTCTTTCTCTTCTCTTCTGTCTCCAGGTACTGCAAAAAAGAGACTTTTTTTGTCTCTTTTATCAGCAACTGTTAAGCCTAAGGTAATGTGGCAAGTTTGAATTCTAAGTCCCAGAGCACTTTAGCTTCATTTTCTATTACTTTGTCCAGTTCTTGTTGGTGGGATCACAAATGCAGGAAAATTGTATTTCTTGCAGATAGTCCAATGCACCATTGTTGCTATAGTGCCACGCCATTATTTATAATCAATCTGTGCAATTTTCTTTCAGCAGCTATCTAAGTGTTTTTTATATTGTTTAATATAATCATATGTCACTTCCCATGCAAAAGCATTGAAGTGGTTTATAATAAAAACAGCAGCAAAAAAATAAACTAATCATAAAGCAATAGTAATCCTCTGCCCGTTTGCAGACAAGCAGGGTAACAAAAGAATCAGTGCAGACAGCATTGTCAGTGTAATTCAAAGTGGGATATGGGAAGAGTAAGGGGAAGTACAGCTCTCCTGACACTACTTGAGTTCTCAGTGGCTTTGATAGGGTTGTCCATGATACTTTTCTAGATGGTCTTTGTGAGTTGGGGGCATTATGTTAGAGTAATTTTGTTCCTTTCTGCAGGGATTAGTAGTAGTAGTATTAGTATCTACACCCTGGTTATGTATTCATTAGTATATGCAGGGTATTTTTGCCATGCTCTAGAAGTTGCAGCTGGTGCAGAATAATGTTACCAGGTTGCTGAGTAAATTGCTGTCCGTGCATATGTTGTACATTTGTTGAAGCAACTGAACTAACTCCCAATTATTACTGAGCCTTATTGAAAAATTTGGCCATGACTTACAAAACTCCCAACAATTTGGGACTAGGATAATCTTCACCTTTAGACACCTGTCTGCTCACTGAGGGGAAGTCCTGCAATGTAAACTGAAAACTACTGATTCTTATTAAATCAGTTTAACGTGGGAAATTGAAATTATTGTCTTCTAATTGTTTCAAGATAGTAATAAAAACAGGATTTTACCTGATAATCTGGTTTGGTGAAATAATCCAGATTTGCAATGTGATCCAGAAAAAGGTGGAACTCAGAAGGCATATGTTTTAGCAGCATTCGATGTTCATATTTCTCCTTAATCATACCAACTTGTTCCTAGAGAGATAAAATGCATTTATTTGTTTGCATGCATGCATGCATGTATGTATGTATGTATATATGTATGTATGTATGTATACCCTGCTGTAATCATAAACAGGGTCTTGGTGGCTCACAAAAAATAATAAATATAGTAATATAATATATAAGATAAATACATTAAAAATTAAATAAAATATCTGGCATTATACTCTAAAAGCTCTCCAGAAAAGTCCTCTGGAAAATTTCGGATTCCATCATATACCGTATATGCCAGCGTACAAGGTGACCCGGCGTATAAGATGACCCCCGTCTTTGTCGCCGAGCCGCATTCCTAGAACGTCATCTTATACGTCGGAAACTACCAGTATTTCCGGCGTATAAGACGACCCCCGTCTTTGGCGCCGATTTTAGCGCTCGCGGAAGTCGCCTTATACGCCGGCATATACGGTAATACATATAATAAATATCATTGGCAAACAAAACAAGACAGTAAATGGGTTCAAGTTAAGATATTAATATCTATTAATTGTGGTGATTATATATAATTCAAGTATCAAAAACAAAATTGTTTCTGAACACTGAAACTTTGACTGCTGTCATACACAATCACAAAAATGTTCTAATGTACTGCTGTGGACATTCCATGGGCCTTTATAGAATCCACCAGGGTTTTTTATTGCTTTATTATTCATTTTGAAAAGGAAGATATTGTATTGTTGCTGACTATATTTTCTACCTTATCTTTAATCTTGCGCCATGGAAGCTGACCAACTGCAAACTCTACCAGCATGTAAAAAAGGGACCATAGATCATCATGTCGGCCCATTTCCTGCAATAAAACAAAAACTAATTTAAAAATATTGTAGCTGCCAACACTGTCTACAACAGCAGGACACTATTGCTACCCAGGAGCCATTACAAAAATATCAGTTGTATATGCAGCATATACATATAGTAAATTGTTCATGTAACCAGAATTAAAAATCAAAAGCAGTAACTTCCATATATTCTAATTTCAGTGCAGTTTTCTGCATTGTCTTGTCTGTTGAGAAATTCCTCCACATCAGTAATGGAACTCTATGATGCATGCTGCACATCATGATGTGTTTTAACTACAAAGGTCAAAAGAGAACACGCCTACTATTTTGTAATGCCAAAAGAGACATTAAACAAGACTAAAGTTGGAAGAAATTCAAAGTTGAAATTTATAGATTTCATGAAGACAAGTCCTCTTTTTTTCCCATTAGACATTCTGCATTGTAGCCTAGTGTATGTCCCACTGTACTGGAACTGGCTTGATTTTGCTGTTATTCTAAATAGTATCCTGAAATATGCCTAAACACTCAAGCTGCTACACTGAAGGAGATTATCTTTTAACTTTCTTTGTACTGAAGGCTATTTGCAAGACTCCATGTTATATTCTAGTTATATCCTGACTTATTTAATTGTTAAGTGACTGAATGAGCTTTGCACAATAAACAGGCAGTTTAGAGCAAATCTATCACAACATAAGCCACATTTCAACAAGGCCGCTGCTCATACTAGCCAGAAAAAATTCCAAAAGCCTTCTAGCCCTGTTAGCTTCTATGGGCAGACCATCCTAAAAATTCTCACATCTCTTCCAGAATAATTGCTCAAAGTTCAAAGCTCAGCAGAAGAACAGCTATGAAATCCATCAGCTTCATGCAATTCACGTTCAGTAGGAAAGAAGCTTCACAGTATACTTTTTGTTTAGATTACAATGTCACAATTTCATATTTGAACAGCCAAGCCACTAGTAATGCAATGTAAGGCAGTTGGCAAACTGCAGTGCTGGGAAAAATATTAATAAACACAGCTTCATGCATATAAATTCTAATATTCACGGTAATGGAATCTAATATTGCAGACCATCAGCACTCTAGATCTTTGTAACGGCAGAGAATTTATTAGAATGTCTCAATCATTAACAGCTCATCATATGAGTTAAGAAGAGCAGCATTTTCTGTTTCAATCCAGGATTCTTTTAAGCCTGGAGAATCTGAAGCAGTGGATAAGGGCCTCTATAATATGAATTCCGCTACCTAGGAATTAGATCCATGTCTCTCCTTGCTCCTTCAGGCAGATGGGCAAGATGAATGCAAATCAACAGCTTGCCTTCAGAAGTTGTGGGTACTCTAACATTGGAGGGTCTTAAGAAGAGACTGGACAGTCAGGGACCACCTTACAAAATATGATTCCACCTATCTACTCCAAACATCTAGCATAATCTTGCTAAATATCCCACCCACCCACTCACCCCATGCATAGTAGAGTATTGTAAAATAAATAAATAAAATGTATATGTGCACTATAATACAACATGCATAATCTATTCAACTGTACCTGAGTCACACCAAGTTTCAGTATGTACTGTGTGTGACACTCCTAACACCACATTCAACAGCAAAACAAACACTTTTCCTTTGATCCTTTGATCTCTCTCACTTTACCCCTTCCATATACACTGGGATAAAACTTACTCTATTTTTATGTGCATTCACTGATGCATACCGAACTGTTCCCCGGAAGCCAGCAACATTACGAGGCTAATGGAAAGAAGAAACATTAAATTTAATTTTTTTAATGTGAAAGTATGCAAAGCTGTCCATCTTTTCTTTGTTGCTTAGGTCCACAAACCATTTTGATGACAAATATTAAGATGAACTCATGGTCAAGTTAAGACATTTTAGTTATGGATTAAAATTGATTTTTGAACAAATCTTTTAGAAACAATAACACTTCCAACTGGAAAACATCCCTTTAAGATAAATTTAATTATCAATTTTTTAAAAAAAAAATCTTAAAAAGGTAAGATCTTCACAGAAAACACTATATACCTCAATGGACAAAGCAGAGCAGCAAAGTGTTTTTTTCCGATATAAAACAGTACAAAAACCACTGGCTTCAGAAACTTAAGAGCAAGTTAAAGTCAAAAATAGATTCAGTTGGCTATACAGTAGAGGGTTAACAACCTCATCTTTCTTACCAAAGTGCTTCAGTTGCTAACTCAGTTTCTTTCTACTGCTCCATCTTAATTCACACGGACAGAATCACTTTGGTGCCGGGAAATAAAAAGTTCAGGAATACCCCTATATATTTTAAAGTACACTTGAAAAAAAATCACATGTGAAAACTATCAGAAACAAATCTGTATGTGTGTATGTGCGTGCATGCGTAAGCATGTGTGTTTGTATACAGAGTATTGTACATATACATTGTTTAAGAAAGAAACCAGGACTGATTATGATTCATAGCTGAGCATAATTTCAGTGTCAATAATTTTGTTTTTTTATTGTGCTGAAAAAATTATCTATGAAAAACCAACAAAGAGCAGCAGTTGGGTCCCAGCTGTACTAATGTTTTTTGTTGATTCCACATAGTATAGATCAGCAGTCATCTATCAGCACAACAGGCACCCTTGGTGAATTTCCTTTTGCTCCCTCCAACTCCTCAAAAATGCTCCAAGAATTAGGAGGCCAAATACAGGAAGGTGGTACAATGCAGAGAGTAAGGATAGGTATTCTGTTGTGCAGATAACAATGTAGTTGTATAACTTTGGATATAATCTATCTTCAATTATTTAATAATTGAAGTCTGATTTTCAGAATTTACATGAAACAGTGATACTAGAAGAGAGCCATTGCTTACTTAACCTCTAACTATGAGTTTAGTCACATAAACTTCAGTCACATAAACATAAATCACCATTGTTACATACTCTACTTTTGGGAACAAATTATTAAATAGGATAGATGTTCTTCAGTATATTTGGGAAAATATATTTTTAAAAGTTATGATAAATAAAAAAAATAAATGTCACAGTTGTACTGGCTTAAACAAGTATTTTGGTCTCCTGAGCATATGCTAAAACAAAACTTCACAGAACTGTCACTTTCTCTTATTGTTAGGATTTCATAACTGAATAGTTGCAATTTTGGATACATATTTTGTATTTCTAAAGGAAATATATTTTCATGTGTGTAAACAGGATTTGACATCTTTGTCTTTTTGCACAGTAATTACGTACAAATGTTAAATAGACGTTGTTCTTAAGGCCCAAAGGAACTTCCTTCAACACCATATGACTCACTGCAGTCCTACAAGGGCCAAACTCTCATAAATTCAGAATCCAGAAAGCTCCTGGCCTATGCATAAAATATTGAGAGCAAAAATTATTTCATGGAAACAAAATAAATGGAAAAAACTCAGAATTATATTCATTATTAAAACAAACACAAAAAAAATAATAAGAAGCATTATGATGGCTCACTCACAACTTATGGTTGAGATGGTTATAAGCAGCAGATGGGAAGCCAACGCATCAAACAGTCTCAAAAAACGAGCCCAAAAGAACTGTAAAACAAAGAGAAACCCAAAGAAAACCATGACAATAAAAATGCAAAATGGAGGAAAACAAAACAGAAACAAATATAAAAATTGGATCAACATTATTATCTCTTCCCCTAAAGAGGTGCCTTGTATCTCTTGCTTGAGTTAGCTAAAGCTCATCGTGCTCTAGATATCCTATCCACAGTAGTGCATTATGGCTTGGATTTTAGAGCAGTGGTCTCAAATTTACAGCCTATAGGCAGATGCAGGACCTTCAAGTCATTTTCTATGACCTCCCACAATATTTTGTAGGTACTAAGGACACTGCCCAGCAAGGCTAGTTCCTTGAGTGGCATGTAAGTGCTCAGGCTGAGTAACAGGAAGAACAACAGCAGTGCCTGATCAACTGGGCCACATAGTCAGCACCACAAACCTTCTCATGCCAAATTTGATTGTTCTCTGGGAATCCTATCCACTCTCACGCTTCATGACAAAAGCTGCTTCCAAAGCAATGCCAGGCTGTTTGGGCAGGAGCAATGGGAAGATGGGATTTGGCAACAAACAGATGCTGGAACTGCCCAGAGAAGGGAGAAAGTAGCTGAAGGGCAGAAGAGCACATCTGGCTAACCTATCTTGAGTTTTTCACATCTTTGCAAGAAGTGGGAAAAACAGAAAGCAATAAGCAGGCAAGCAAAATCTCTTGAGAAAAAGGGCAGAAGAAAAAAAAACTTTCTTCAGGAAAGAGAAAGAAGTAAGAGAAAAGCAGGGATTTGGACAGTTCTTCATGGAATTATTTTCACTTATCATCTTCAATATGATCCTGAAAAAATATTACCTATCAACCCAGCAAGAAACCAAATACTGGTGACCTAATTAATAAAATCACTGAGAAATAAATGGTGAAACAACTGTTTTGCAAGAAACTTTGCTGTTTTGCAGTAAACCTTTTTTTTATTTTAATACATTTTAATGGCATATCATGATATTCTCCATTTTTGATTCACTAGAGACTTTTGTATCAAAGACTTCAGTGTTTTAACCCTTGAGCCAATGAACTATTCCTCAGATGGACCCCTGACAATTTGAGTTTTAGATTCTAGTTCTAAGGAATGATCCAGTCTTTAGCAAAAGGACTGTAGTCAGTATCCTGTAGTCAATTTCAACAGCCTTTTGGTCCCTATGCTCTATGTTGACACAAGGCAAGATTAATTGGCACAATATCTCAGGTAGATCTTCTTTATTGTTTGCTCTAGGGATAGATATCATTTGAATCCTTAAGGATCATACTATTCTTTATCTCAAAGGACTTATTTACTAAAGATAGCTTCTGTTTCTATTTCGTAGCAAGTAGCTTTTATTTTTCTTTTTTGAAGACTCTTTGGATAGTTTTTATAATCTGTGGATTATTGGATCTCACTTTTTCCAGAAATAGCCATGCTTCCTGATAAAGGAAAAGTATATGTGCCAGCCAAAGAGAAATTACAATACACTCTTACTCCAACAAAGGTTTATTCAGCAATTCTGGCCTTTCACATGTATTTTAGGCAGATGGAAACGATATTCCATATAAAGTATACGTACTTTATATATATGTACATCTATATAAGCAAGAGGAGGAAACTTTGCAACAGCTACTGCAGAATGTGGAACACAGCTGGACAGATGTTTTGACAAAATTATGTGTATTAGGGTAGGTCCATCTTGTTGATTGAGCTGTGAAACATGGAGGCAGCCAAAGCACCGAGACTACTCCAGTGAGACCTGGTTCCTGTTATCAATTTCAAGTTGAGTTCTTAGTTTACTGAGGAACCTTGGGGGGCGGGAGGGGGGGATATTTGAAAATATGCCTAGAGCAATGAAGGCAGAAAACCGAACTATATGCAAGTGACCATTGCTAGACCTCCTCTCTGAACTTACACTGTGATGATAAAAGCAATGAAATTCTCTGCACTTAAGTGGTCTGAAGATTCCCGCCAAGAATTACTTGGACACTTTTATAGGAAGATGCAAGGGAGAAACACCTGCAAGAATAGTGGATAAATTCATAAAACCATTCATATACATTGTAGATTGAATAGGAAATGGGTAAAGCTGATGGTTATTACAGAGAAGGGTTAGGGTTATCTTGTGTTGTAATTTGGGATATATTTGAGTATGTAGGACCTATGCAAACAGATAGGGATCGCCATGATTTGAATACTGCCAATTGTACATTTGTCTCATGTCCCCACTGACTGCATTAGATGACAAATTGAGGCATGAAGCATTGGATCTGGAAGGCAATCTATGCAATTTAAGGGAGATGGGTAACGCCATTTGCTTTGAAGGAAGTAGTAGTTCTTGGATCCAGCTATGTTTCATAATCCTTATTTGGTCTCCAACCTCCCATCTGTAGAAGGTTGTTGAGAAAGTGATGGGAATCAGCTATAGAAGATCCTACAAAAACAGATTATTTGGATCCTTTTCAGTCTGTATTCAATCCCAGTTATGAGACAGAAATGGCACTAGTCATCTGGTAGATGACCTTCACGGAGATCTAGATGAGGGGAATGTGCTCCCTTGGCTCTTCTTGGTGGTATTCAATATTATCAAACATGATATCATTTTGGACTGTTACATGCATTGGAATTATTAACACTGTTCTAATATGGATTTGTTCACACCTGAGTGGATGATTCTGGTCAGTGGTCCTGGGGAAAAACCACTTGAGTTCCAGTGCAGAGAACCATAGGGTTTAGTGTTTTCCTTTTTTGTTATTTAACATTTAAATGAAACCACTGGGAGAAATCATCAAATGTTTCAGGGTGAAATGTCACCAGTACATAGTCTGGACCAGAGATCCCATGTAAGTCTTGAACCCATATCTGGAATCTGTGAGGATCTTGATGGAGCAAAACAAGCTTAGATTAAATCCCTCTTCCCTATCCTACTACTGAAAGAGGAGGTCTGTAAATAGGATCCTCCTGATCTTCCAGTTCCTGCTCAAACAGCCAAGGAAATCCTGGCTAGGCTATGTTCTTAGCTAGCATGCTGAGAACATATTACAACCTTACTTGAACTGGCATACCTTATATTAGTAATTCATGCACTAATCGCTACTTACTGGACTACTGCAGTGGGCTTTACATGAAACTGTCTTTGGAGACAACTCAGAAATTGCATCTGGAACAACCTCATCAGTGTATTTTTTTATAAATATTTTATTAATTTTCTATTTTTACAATCAAGTACTTCATAGACAATGTGTTGTCTGGGTCCGTTAATAATTCAGTGGTATATATTAACTTCTTCAATCTAGATCCAACATTGTACCATCAAATGTTTCCTCTCTTCTTCCGGTAGTACCTGTTTTCCCACACTAGGTAAATACAATTCTTATTGTTATTAGTAAATATACAACTGAATATCAACATCTTTGTTACATTTTTCTCATAATATCAATAATATCAGTTTTAGATTACTTTTCTAACCAAAACATATCTTAATTGCATTTGCACTTAATGTCCAGTCAGTATCCTGTTTTCGCTTTTTTTTAATTTTTAATTTCCCATCAGTGTTCAAAATGTCTCTATTGTTTATAATTTTAAAATAAGTTATATTTGGGTAACCAAAAGCTTCCCTTATTCAAACTTCTTGGTCTTTTCCTGTTTCCTTTATACCAAAATCTAATATTCTAGTTAAAAATCTTATCTTTCTAGTTATAATAGTACTTCTATTTCTAGCAATTATCTATTCTCCACCATATTCAAACATCTAGTTAATAATATAATATCCCATCTAATGGATCAAAACCTCTATTTTCTTCAGTCTTACTCTAGCTTTCTTTCTTTGCCAACTAACTTTCCCAGTCAATGCATTTGAATCATCAAGTAATTTTTCCTCTGTTTTTGTGTATATTATTTGGAATAGGAAAGACCATTTGGTTAAAGTATTTTTGGAAGAACGAACCCATTGATAGTCATTAAACAGCCTCCCTCCGCCAATTCCCTACAGTTCTCCTAACAGCTCTATCTTCCATTCAATCAGTTCTTCTTCCTTTTCCTTGAATTCTTGATTGGTAAGATGTCTTTTCCATTTCCAATATTATTGCTCCATCTTCTAGTTCTTCAGTTGTCTGAATCTGTCTTTAGGTCCTTCATCTTTGGATCTGCTTCCTCTAGTTTTCCTTCTATTTTCTGGGTTACTAGTTCCTTCTTTGTAGTTATATTCTGAGTTTGTAAATTTAGAGTAGAAAATTGTTCTTTTATCTCCTTTGTGTTATTTCTAGTCTCATCATGAGCTAAAGCAGTGGTTCTCAACCTGTGGGTCGGGACCCCATTTGGGGTCAAATGACCATTTCATGGGGGTCACCAAACCACGCTATCCGGCAATTTTTTTCCCTTTTCCCTAGCTGTCCTACTCCCTCTTATTGGTGGCCACACCCACTTGGGGGTCACCACAACATGGGGAACTGTATTATGGGGTCACGGCATTAGAAAGGTTGAGAACCACTGAGCTAAAGCAATAGTCTCTTGTATTGATTTTAGCATGGAAAGAATTTCTTTCTGATATTCATCCATATTTTCTTGGTAGTATATCAAACTGAAACCTTTGAGAATAGGTGTTAAAGATGGTTTTTTATCATTTCAAGTTGAGTATGGGACATCCATTTCATTTTTTGTAAGTGGTCTTTATAATAAAAATTGTTCATCAATCAAAGATTTGTAATCCAAAATATTCCATCATCTCAAGCAATGAAGTGTATTTCTCCTGCAGGAAAATAGTTCCACAACACAGCTCTTAAAGTCAGATAATATTTATATTCGTAGTTCAGGCAAGCCAGTTTCAAAATAGTTCATCGTCTCTGTCACATCAATAAGCAGCCCAAAAGTTATTGTATTTTTCCCTTTTCCCAGCTGCAATCTTCAAAAGTGAAAGCTTCCAAGGTGAGCAATAGCCTTATCTAAATCTGGGCTTCAAACCAAGTTTCCTTTAGACATAACAAATTGTAGTGCCGTAATTCACATCTAGATGTCATCAATGCTGTTTCCCAGCTTTTTAAATCTCAATTTATAATGTAAGCCAAACATCTCAAACTTGTGATGTCACGTGACGTCGTATGACGTATTGGAACTTTTTCCCCATTGTCAGCAATGGGGTGGGTGTGGTTTCATCATGACGCGTCCGGCCCACAAGCCGGCAATTTGACACTCCTGATGTAGGCTTTTCAAATCTCTTTTTAAAAAGAAGTCTCTAAAGCACTTTTAGTCCCCAAATTTAAAGCCATAAATGTATATTAATTCCAAATTAATCTTGTAATTTTCTCTGTTTCTTCCAAGTAATTAATTAGCTGCTTTTCTTTTCCTGAGGGAATGGGGCGGAAATTCCCCTTCCCTCATCGGGGAAGGTGCTTTGGCAGTTTTTTCCAGGAAGAGGTCTTAAAGTCTTAAAGAGAGGATAGAGTCTCACCCAGTTTCATCCACGTTGCTATAAGGTTGCTTCTTAGTGCTTGTTGTCTTCCGTTGTCAGCAGCTTCTGACTGGCTACATTCCCCCGCCGGTTTGGAGGGTTTCTTCAGATCAAATGGAAGGGTCCCTGCCCTCCCGCAATTGAGGGTCCCCTCCTTGCTTATCGCCTCTACGGGGTGACTTTTGACCTTATCCAGGGTCCCCAGCGGAGCAAAATAGAACACAAAAGACGGAGCCCCGTCTTTCTGCATCTGCTCCACTGTAACGTCAAAACTGGAAGCCCCAACCTCATCAGTGCATTTTATAGGTACTGCACAGGCTTCTGGATTTAGTTCAAAGAATCGACTGTCATCTTTAAAGCCCTTTATGTCGCAGCACCAGAAGATAAAAGATTAATATCTTGCCAGAACTTAATCTAGCTCATCCAAAGTGGGGCTGCTGAGAATACTTCCCACAAGAAAATATGGGGAGTAGAGCAAATGACAGTCCTCTTCCAAGTTAGTCCAAATTTTTGCAACTCCCTCCATCCCAAGTTACATGCAGTCTTTGCCCTCTTAATATTTTATAATATATAAAATTATCTAAATGAGTATTCAGTCCCAGTTAATCTGAGGGCATTTATCATAGGTATTTAACTAATGGATTTTCTTTTTATATAGTGTTTATTGGTTTTAGATTTGTTTGCTTGTTGTACATCACTCAGAATCCTTCCCTAATGGTTTGGATTATAAATACTATTAATAAAAAGTAATAAATAGGTTTTAGGTATACTATGGTTCTGTTGCCAATTTATAATACATTTCTTTAGAATCTGTTCTGGATATGAGAATGTACATTTGATCAGATCACAACAATGCCATTTCCATATGGGCCATATCCAAATGGAATATTTTTTTGGATCAGGGTTAGCTCATTTTCATGAATATAAAACTCCATAGCACTGTTTATCACCATTATTTTAGTAATAATCTTTCAAGAGATTATAAATTGTGAAGGGTGAGTGAATTGTACCAATTATGTGTATTGTGCGCTAAGATGTTAAATATTAAGATTTTGTTTTTAAAAGAAATACTAACTGGAAGCCAGTATTTAATAGACTATTTTAAATTAACCAAGAATTGTTTACACTAGGAACAAGATAGCTTTCTGAAATGGGGAATAAAATAAAATAATAAGATAAGATAAAATAATAAAATACGGATCTATTTTGTTATCATTGTTTTCTTGAAAAGTGAATGGGTTCAATAACAAAGTTAGTATCTTCTGGAAATAAAGCCTTTGGTATTTCATAAGCTCAAACATAACAGGATAATTACAAACAAAACACAGGAGAGATACAGTGATGGTTTCCACCCACTCACCCCCATTAACAGGCAAGTTTTTGTGCTCTGTTTAGAGCAGTGGTTCTCAACCTGTGGGTCGGGACCCCATTTGGGGTTTAACGACCATTTCATGGGGGTCGCCAAACAACGCAGTCCGCCATTTTTCCCCCTTTTCCTTAGCTGTGCTATTCCCTTTTATTCTATTAGCTTTTGAAAGCCAATAGAATAGACTCTCTTGAATAGAGTCTAATCCTATTGGCTTTCAAAAGCCAATAGGAATTGTCCAGGCTGTCTCTGCTCTGCTGAGCCTGCCAAAAGTCCCATTCTGCAAATGGTGCTGCACCAGTTGAGTAGTCCTCGACTTACAACCGGTTGAGTAGTCCTCGACTTATGACCGGTTGGGGGTCGCGGCATTAAAAAGGTTGAGAACCACTGGTTTAGAGCAAAATTTAACAAAGCTTCTGAGAACCAAGTAAAACTGAAATGGAATTGGAAATCTTACTTGGTTGTGGAATCATGATGTGAAATGCCTTTAAATACAGAGACAATGATTAATTACCACCATAGTACTGTTACGTCTTACAGTGATAATGATGACCAATAAATATTTGTACCAATATTAGGAAATATCAGAATCAGTAACAATGTTCATTTTAGGATTTGGATGCTCTATTTAAAAACTGGTCACGTTATAAATAGGATTTTGCTGTGTTTTTCTTCTTCTTCAAATTTCTGATTTAGACAAAGCTTACCAGATCTTTTGTCACATTCTGTTTCAGTCAAATCCAGAAACCAAATCATATTTACACATATATGCAATATCCTTAAGCCAAGTATTGCAAATCGCTGCAATGCAGTCTGATTCATGAGAAAATAGCTGTAATCAATAATCTTGAGCTGAGTCAGCAGAATAGCAGCATGCAAAGTACTATAGTACGTTTTCAATTCATGAAAACAAAAGAGACTCCTCATGATAAAATGCTGCATATTTTTCATCATTTTAGAAATGCTTTCCAGAAAAACAAATAATTTTAGCAAGGAGGTTTATTAAACTGGGAGGAGCATCACACTATCAAGATAGATGAGCCCAGTATCAATGTCAATCTGAGTCAATGTGTGTCACTGCATATGGTATTTTAAGTACTGTATTTTCCGGTGTATAAGACGACTTTCTAAACCATGCAAATCTTCTCCGGAGTCGGGGGTCGTCTTATACACCAAGTCGTGTTATACGCTGGAAAATACCGTATTTTCCGGCGTATAAGACAACTTTCTAACCATGCAAATCGTCTCCGAAGTCGGGGGTCGTTTTATAGCAGAGTCGTCTTATACGCCGGAAAATACGGTAACTGCTTTCACTATCAAACTGTTCTTACAGTTTGGAAGCTTTTCTAGTGTTCAATCAGAACCTCCTTTTCTGCAACTCAGGCC